TTGTAAGGCTTGTAGAGAGGATACGGGAGTTTATGTCAGTTGATTCGAATGGCGAGAGCATGCTGTAGATACATGTGTGTTAATTTCTAAAATGAGGAAAGCTATTGACAAATAAGTTGATTCAAAAGAATATTAAAAGTTCTGTTTAAAGTTAACATTTCGCAAATTCTTTGGTCGATACAGTGGGACTGTAAGCAAATATATTTTTTTTAATGAGAATGTTGACGAACTCTTTCATAAATATTGTTAGACCTTATTTTCACATTTGTTTTGTTTGTCCAATCACGACAGGGACCACACGGCGGATGTTACCGGTCGACGGGGGTTGCTTCCTCTCCATGATCCTGTTTGACGCTTTTAGAGATCCATTTTGTTCTGCTCCAACTCGTTTCGTTCCAAAAGACTTTGAAGTTCAAATACAGGTCATTATCTTTATTTTTTTATTTTCAACAAACAAGAAAATCATTGTTTTAATAAAACAATAGATAAATAAGAATAACAATCTTTATTGCACAAGACATGCATCTTATTTTGTTATATTAAGGCAATATAACAAACTTAAAAATAGATTGTGTGACATGGTAATATAAACATATGTAGTATATAATGTTAGGTTGTAATAAACTTTTTAAATAAATGTATCATATACAGTTTGACCTTATACATTAGGCAGAAGATCATTTTGTGACACTTCCACGTACTTCAAAGGCATGTTGAGGGTAGAAACTGTACCTACATTGTAGATTTCACAGTTCCTTAAGGTTTTTTTTATCTAGACTTAGCAGCTGTATTAATTTGAAAACTGAAGGCTTTTTGTTCCCGTAACATTGATTAATTTTATCGACATGTTATTACTAAATTTAAGATATATTAAAATAAAATGAACTTCATTCTCAATACATGTATCTAATTATAAATGACACATTTAGCTACTGGTACTGTATTTAAGGACCATATTCAATAGGTCTTTTAAAAGATGACATACATATTCTACGTAATTACTCCTTATATTTGATAGGAATAACTTGTGTAATAAAAAACATTAATTATGAAATAAAATAAAAACATTCATTAGGGATATGGCACAAGAATTTCATCTACATCTACCAAGTGATATTCGATATGAAAGTCATTTCAGTGAGAAATTACTCTTAGATATTTCATAAGCATTAAAAAGAAGGACCTTTTTATTCTACCTAGTCATCTCTGTACTGAGCATATGGGCTCTGTAACATTTTCCGTCTCTGTATTTGTTTCTTTAATGCTTTCTTTTTATTCTTTCTTTGTTTCTTTAGGGCCTTTCTTATTTTCTTTTGCAGTTTCTTCTTATTTTTTCTCAAGCGTTTACCGAGTCCTCCATGTCTTTTACCAGGCTTAAGAGGTTTCTGAAGGGGGCCAATATGAGGTGTCAAAAGTGGATGTTGGTTTGGGTAATGGATTGGTCGAACTCCATGTGTACCTGGTCGGAGTCGTTCAACCCTGTTCAGGAGACGATCAAAATTTGGCGAAATCCCATTTTTAGCAGAGCCTTTGCGAAAAATTTCACGAATATTTTTCAGTCTGTCCAGAGTACGTGGTGGTAAAGATCTAATTTTATCTAACAGCTTGGCATTCATACCACTTCCCCGTCGTCCTGGTTTGAGCCCTGTATTCCAGAGGGCGCCACCTGTTCCTTCATTTACTGTCCTTACGTTCAGAGGGTGAACACCACGGTCCAGGTGTGTTGGGCCTTGTCCCAATGTTCCTTTCTCATCTGTCAAAACAAAATATTACTCAAATTCTACTTCGCATGAATACAAAATAAATCTGCTTATAACGGGAAATGGCAACAGATTTTTTAAGACCTGGTCTTTGCATAGATATATTGTCAATCATTAACTCAAGAATCTTTTCAATATTTAAATCAGAGCACTTGTGTGTACGATCAGAATGTTTTTCAACAAAATAATTTTGCAAATGCCCAAATGACAAGGTAAGTAAATCTACGAGTTCCATTTTTATTGAAAAAGCAGATCTCAAAAAGCCTGGACTATCATGTATCGTGGGGAATGGTTGTACACGTATATCAAGATAAAAACTCGTTAGTTTTTATGTGGTTCATTTTAAATAAAAAAATTAATTTAAAACTTTAATTTAAAAGTTTTCATTGAAAAATACATTCATGACATTTTATCAATTAATTAAACAATTGTCTGTTGCCAGATTTCATTTCAAACTACTAGTATCAGTACCAACCGTAACCAACACCTTACCCGCCATTTTGTTACTAGTATTTCATGGCTATTTATTGAACGCAAAGTTAGCCCATCAGTTATTCATTTTTACGACGATTGGGCACGAAATCGGTTTACGGACATTGCCTGATATCTAGTGTAAAATAAGGCTAAGAAGTATGAACTCGTGCAAACATTTCGAAGCAAATTTGCAAAATTTATGAATTTATAAGTATTTGATTCAAATCTTTTGGGAACTTGGTTTTGCGTTTAGATATAAATGTGAAGAATTATCTTCTTTAAATTTCTCGTGCAGAAATTCTTCGAGATAAGTCCATCTTTATTTTTTAATTTGAAGTACTCCGGCCCGCATTTTTCAAGGTGGATTTTTCTTTCAAAAATTTCTAACACAATGAATAATCATCAAAATAATAATTTTAATCACTCTGATATTACCAATAATTGTCATATAAAAATAGAAAAAGAAACTGACTACAAAAGAGATTAAATGAATCAGAAACTCATAAAAAATTAATATAAAAAGTATTTTAAAAGATGAAATGTTCAGGGCTTCTTATACTTACATTTGCTTATTTCGCCGTACACCCCAGCCAAATAAGTCGCTAAAACTATGAAGATACCCATCCTAAAAAAATATTTTAAATTAATTGTCAAGGACTTAGTGATATTCAAAACTGAAATCCTCATTTAATTTAAAGCAATATGAGCTGCATTTTTGAAAATTTTATTTTGCTGTTAATATTAATGATATTTTTTTTTACGTAACTTAAACTATACTTATGATTAATTAGACTAAAATAAAGCAGAAGAAAGACCTTTTTATACAATCCAATATACAGTTTTATATACGAAATCATTATTGTACAGGACGACAATAATATAATTTTGATTCAATCAGAGCTTATAAATAGTTTTTCCATCGCAAAAATGAACAACAGAAGTTTATTAATGTTATCTTTATGTCATAGTTATTTACAATTTTGCAACAAAAATTCCAACATCAAAGTTGCCGATCTTATTGCTTTACATGTAAGTCACAAATATAGATAAGCTCAACAGAACCCACTTTACTTTAAAAATCTTACCCTGTATAGATATTCTAGTGCACTGTATAAGATTTTTGATTATTGACAATATTTATATATTCTTTCTATAAGGAAACAGAATGTGTGTGTGTGACGTATGTAGGTCCCCTCGTCAGTGATGTCCAGCTTTAAATGGACAGAAGTAAAGGGGAGCGCAGAAATAAACACTTCATTCCGTCTGTAATGTCAACGTAGTATAGATGGATTTTCAATGTTTTTGTTATGTGGCTTAGTATCTATTCCTTATAAACATGCTTGATCGAGTTTAATGTATTGGATAAATCTAGAAACCCAGATATGTTATGATTATGTCTGGAAATACTTTAAGAGATTTTGGACGGTACTGTACAGGTCAAGGTAATTGGGAAATTGACTGCTGACCAATTAATCCTATATGTGCGTCAATATACGGGAAGTTTTTTGATTGGTCATTTACTTTAATTGATAAGTAAAGCACTTTGAAAGGTACATGTACATACACATATACATATATTGACATATGCCTATTGTTTACCATTTCTTATTTTATAAAATAAAATTGTAATATAATTTTCAATGTCAGTATTCTTATTTAAAAAAAGAACACGGACAATCATTGCACTGGGAGAAATCGGTTTGCAAAGCAATTCTGGCAATGATTCTGAAAAATAAACGATAAAGAATCTATTCAGACCAAGACTCCATTTCCAGCCATCCTGATTAAATAAATATTATGTATGTAAAAAAAATATAATACGAATTCATGGTTGTATCAGTGTCCAGTCGAAATTAGGAGTACGTGTGGACCGTAAAAGTTTGTCAAAGAAATGTTATTGATATGATTTATTTATTTTTGTACTATCATAGGCCACAAATGACCAGACCGTCATCAAAACTTCAAAACACCTTCTTTAATATCAAGAAGTATAAAATAAAACAAATGTTGCAAGAAAAAATCAATTTCATTTTCGAGACTTTTAAGATTTAAATAATAATAATTTTGAGTCGAAGTGTTCTTAAAGACTAAGAGCTAGAGCCATTTAAGTTTGTATGAGTCCGTGCAAATAGCGAAGACACGTGAGCACGTTTATGTAGTTTTCATCTTAACTTGGAATGGTTTCTATCTGTATTCTTGAAAAAAGATTATTTACACGTGTTTTGAGCTTCGATGGAAATTTAGACATCTTCGAATTTGACAAAGATATAACTGTACAATATTAGAATTATGCACTTCCTCCTTACTGACCAATTTCAATTCGGGAGGGGGTGTCAAACATTTATTATCTTGAAATTTTGTGACGGGTAATTATAAGAAAATCAATCAGAGAATTCGAACATTTAAACATAAGTAAAAGCGATAAAATTCCTTGTCCATTTTATCGTAAAAAAGTCAAAAGTATTCTGTATCCTTTTGTGGCACTGAGCATCAGTAATCCATGGGTTTTTTCAGACTTCATTTTTGTCCCTTGCAAAATTATGCATTCCTAAAACCAAGAAATTACTCTTTCATATTTATAAGCTTATGATGTTTAAAAACCCAAAACAAAACAAAGGCAGATTTAAAGTCATTTTTAAATGGCACTCATTATTGGACAGCGGGTATCTGATCTATATAATACTAAATAATGAAGGGGATGGTCTTTTAAATACCCATTTAAAGACCAAAGTAAAGTTGCGTGTTTCCGAGACCTATGTAAATAAATATATGTCCGTCTCCAATAGACACTGTTTTGGACCTAGGATCGTTAACCTGCTGGTGAAGCGGAGAGCATACATTTCTTGACTGATCACAGGTGAGTGTTCCATAATTGTCGATAATGTCTTTTTCCTTATAATAACTTAGAAAAATCTATTTCTTTTAAAGACAATTGGTTTATGGATTTAAAATTATAATTGAAATTCTTAATGTTTAAAGCGTTAATTTTCAATACAAAAGCTAGATATAACTAGTCTTCTATTGTACATGTGTAACTGAATTTTAATATAAATATTTAATATAAATATTGTAAGAAAATATACTTTTTGTAATTTTTTCCCCATAATGATGGGTTTATTATTTGTTTTAAAATTTTGGTATGACCTTTATTAAAAAAAAATGCCAGGATGTTTTAAGACATGCTCCTTTTTTCTGGTGTAATGTCAATATTTTAATGAACATTTCACAGATCGGTATTCATCGATTCCTTAGCTTTCCGGTGCCATTTCTTTACTTCAAGTGATTTTTTGAAAGTCATCACCAACTGTTTCGCCATTGTGAAAGTAGCAATATTGCTTAATAAATAAGAATGATCCGATAGGGATTTTATTTTTTTCTTACGTAGAGACATTTAAAAGCTAATCAGACATAACAGAGAAGGTACTATTTTGCAATCAATGTTTGAATTAAAAACAACAAAGCACTGAATTCTTCCACCATCTTACCGAAATTTAATTTGGCTTTAAAAAAATAAATAAATAAAATGGTCGGTCACTTCATAATCTTCTTCTTAAAATATTATTTCGATGTCCAAAATTTTTAAATTCAAATACAGCCTTCATAGTTTTCAGCATATTTTGCAATTCTTTTTTAAATTGATGTGTATACTTGTCTTCACAATTTCACCTTAGCACGATTTCTTCAGTGAAACCCTTAAATTTAAATGCTGTTCCGTTCTTAGGACTATGAAATTATGGTTTAAAGATAAGATTACATTAAAGTGAACAAAACCTCAAACAAGTTTCTATAAATAAGTAATAGTTACTATTATCTACATGCAAGTCTACAATAAAATCTCCGTTGAAAATAATAAAAGCGTAATATCTCTTATAAAATATTGATTGTAGTTTGGTGTTTTTTTAACAGAAAGTATACTTTTGTTTTATTTTGTTACACAAAATAGCACAAAAAAAAAAACAAAAAACAACTGAAATAACAATCCAACTTTAAACAATATAAATCTATTTGCTTCTTGAGACAATCAATTCTTATTTGTTTTTATCTAAGTCAGTTTGAACGGTTTTGCATTGTATGATTTGTAATCAAATTACAAGATAAGTGTAGACCAGTTAAACAATCTAAATTAATACTTCTGCACCGTGTTTACATCTAGAATTTAGATTTGTAATAATAACTTATTCTTTGGTAAGAAAATGTGATTGGTTTATCTTGAAGTTCCTGTATCATATTAATAATTATACTATTTCTTGTTTTATTGATGTATTTCTAATAATTTTTGGAAAAAATGTTAGAAAATTTTTGTTGTTCATAGAAAATTAAGAATACTTGAAAAAAAAAATAGTATAATTTTTTATGTATTGTTGAACTTACTCTTAGTTCACGTTAGATTATCGTTTTATTATCGTTTTATTGAAAATTTACTCATTCTGAGTAATCATTTTTATTTATGGATAATCAGACATCTATAATTGAGACAAAAGTATTCCATTTTCCCCTTTCATATCACACATCAATTTTTTAAATCACAAATTTATTTTTTTTATTTACTCTTTAGCAAAAGACTTTGAAAACACATGGTCATTTTAAGGTGGTAAAGATTTCTTTTTTGTTTTTTTATGGCTGCTATCGAACATTTTACTTGACAAAGCAGTATTAAAGTATTTAAAGTTCATTAACATTTTTTCTTCGATTTTATAAAAGAAAAAATTCATGTTGATCCAACTAAAATTTATAAAACAAAAACAAATAATGAAACATTTTTTTTTTATTTCTTTGATTTGTTTTATATCGAAATTCCAAATCCAATTAAGGAATCATCTTATTAATTTATTGTAGATAAAACAAAACAGAATGGGGTGCGGATCATCCTCCCCAACAGCTTCAACACCTGTAAAAAACAGAGACAGGGGCGGAGTGCTTCAGACGTCCGAAGTTACAGAGGAGGACTTTAAACAAACTGTAACACAACCACAAAAAATTGTGGCACAACCACAGAAAACAGCACCGCACAGCAATGGAGCGATAAAACCAGCTAATAATACAAAAACAAACCATTTGGTAACAGTAAATGGTACATCTGAAAAAGACCATAAAACGTCGTCCAAGAATTCAAGCAAGGATGAACTTTTGGTCGAAAATGTGGAGGAAGTGACAGGCAGCAATGTAATTCCAAAGCCATCAAGGAAAAAGAAAACACAAATTATTCCGAATTCCGAAATGTTTAAAGCAATAGACAGTCATGTTGCAAGGGTAAATAATTCAAGTATTTTACTTCATTATTTTCACAAATATTAAAAATGGACACCGATACATTTCGAAATTATAAATTTTGGGTAGGAAGTGTTCACATATTAAATGACCAATACTCTTAAAAGAAATTCCACTGGCAAGTGGTGGCGTCTCCATATGAGTGAAATATTCTCGAAAGGGACGTTAAACAATATAAAATCAATCAATCAATCAATTTTAAAAGAAATTAGATTTTAAACTTTGTTGACATGTTTAAATTTCAGACACCAGCCTCTGTGTGTAATTCTATTGCAACTCTGGCAGAGTATCTCATCAAGCCAGCGAACACACCTCTGGAGAGAGCAAGAGCTATCCACAAATGGGTTACAACTAATATAATGTAAGTAGCTCTTTATGTTTCGGTAAATCCACACTTAGTAACGTTCCATCACATGTCTACACCTATGGTAAGGTGTTAGATAATGGAAACATTTTTTTTTGGTTAAAAATCAGTACATGTACCTTATCTAAATGGCATTTGCTTTTCCAAGAAAAAAGAGTTACCATTAAAAAAAGGGAAAGAAAATGTAAAAGTTGTAATTTTTTTACTTTTTTTTGAAAGGTATGATATAGATGGATACATGGGAAGAAGTGATAAAAAGTCATGTGATTCTGGGGATGTTTTGAAGAACCGCTCTAGCGTATGTGCCGGATATAGTAATCTCTTCGAATCCCTGTGTCGGTAGGTGGAGATGATATCAAACTTGTATATTTAGATTTCTTCTAATATTAATAGTGATTAAAAATTAAATAATGAAGTTTTGCTTTTTTAATGATTAAATTGTGGAATATAAATTTGACGTGTGTCTTTTACTACTTAGTTATTCTTTACAAAGACCATTAATAAAGACTTCTTTACAACTCGCAAAAATAATGAAGTTTATAATGAGAAATAAAGCAGGCTCTTTTTTCTCCAGATGTGCCCATATACCTGTTATGGTAATCTCTGGCTATGGCAAGGGATTCAGTCATAATGACAAGGAGGATGTGGACATCTCTAATCTGAGCACCAACCACGCATGGAATGCCATATTTCTTGAAGGAGAATGGCGGCTTCTTGATTGTACATGGGACGCAGGCTACGTTGATGGCAAGTCATTTCATTGGTACAAACGAGATTATTACTTCCTTATGGATCCAGAGTATTTCATCAGCTCACACCTGCCTTTCCTAAACAAAGATCTTAAAGCCAGTGAACCATGGCAACTACTGGATAAACCTGTAGGTCCAAAAACATTTTTCAAATCATTAAAACTGGAGGACGGTTCGGTGAATTATGGGATATTTCCTCTGACTCATAAAGAAACTGTAGTTCCTGTTAAAGGAGAAACGTGTATAGAAATTCAGAAGTGTGTTCCTGGCGACATTGTGGATACTTTGATATCATTTACAGACGATGAAACTAAGAAGGAATACCAGCAATGTGTGGCCACCGAAAAATCCGAAAATAACGTCATAAAATTCCACGTCCGACCACCCAAACCTGGCATTTACAAATTGAACATATTTGTAAATGCACCTGAAGAAGAGAAAAAATGGCCACAACTTTTTAAATACGTCATTAACTGTATTAGCGCTCTGGAAAATTTGGTATTATATCCCAACCACCGTCAATTATATGGTCCAAAGCATGGATACAAAGAACTGGGATTTGACAAAGGTATAGAGGAGAAATCAATCTATTCAACCAACTCAGGAGAAATAGAGATTATCCTACCAACCTTGAGACAAATGTCTGTATTATGTACTCTAGAGAGTCAAGACTCGTCTAAAATACAGAATGCTGTATTTCAACAATCAACTGCAAACTCAGTCTCCTTATCCACCAGACTTCCTACAACAGGAAATTATAAGCTTACTGTCTTTGCACCAAAAGAAAAGGAACACGTGGTAGCTATCACCTATATGATTCAATGCACCAATGTTCTCAATGAATTCAAGCCGTATCCTGTTGTATATGGAGTTGTCTCGACAAAATATCAAATCATTCTTCACGAACCAAAAGTCAAAGGAATACCCGCCAACACCCCTGTTGTTTTCAAATTTTCGTCTCCCGTTCTAAAATCTGTACAAATTGGAACAAAAGTTTTCTTGAAAGAAGACGATAGTGACGTTTGGGAGGTTACTTTTGACACCCCCGATTCTGGGGTTCAGGTGAACCTGTTTGGAGGAGCTGAAGAGCAAGGAAAGAGGGATGGACTATTCGGATTTCTAACAGCGTAATCTTGTTAGTCTTAAACGTCTTCACGCAACTGACTTCAGTTAAAAAAATTTAACTGATGAGAACTGACTTCAGTAAAACCCCGTTATATGTTGATTCTTAGCACGTAACAACAGAGCCGTTTCATTTTCTCTATACTAAATTAATAATAATATATGAATTTATAAAGCGCTAAATATTAATAATTTAACTCTAAAGCGCTGTACAATAAAACGCAAGTAAACATAATTAAAGCCATATACGTAATTATATATGTGTTTTTTTTTTAAGTATGCTCATGTACATGTCAGAACCATCAGCATTTTGCTTACATATATATTTATTTCTAGAATTTCAATAAGAAGTTACCTTAAGTGCAAGTAAGAAATAACACACTTCGATACTTACTGTGGGTTATTTCTAATAACTTCACTTGAAACAAAGCTTCAATTGAGCCTTTCTTGTCATTTGTCTGGTATTATTCCTTTTCAGCGCCATTTTTAGCAAAATCCTTGAGCAGTTTCAAAGAAGATGATTGAAATTCATTTTTTAATGTTCATATTCAAAAAGTATACATTAAATTGTGTAATTTCCCAGGAAAAAACCCTTTCATATATTATGTACATGCAAAATCTGTGAAAATTAAGTAGTAAGAAATTAAAATCCATTAGAAAACTAGAAAATAATAAATAAACCTATATTTAAGAATCCTGTTTATGTATAAATTACATGTATATATTGACTGCACACAGGCAAGAGAATATTGCTACATGTATTTTAGGATGTACAAAGATTTACAAAGGGAGCACATATGAAGAACATCTGAAAGACTTGATCGAATGCTACGTGAAATCAAATAAATACGCATCTAAGTATGACATTGTAGTAGATTAGATTTGGTGCGATTAGGTGTGGACACAATAATGGTCAACTTGGACAAAATCAACAATGGTCTTTTACAAAGTATTTGAACAGAAAAATTGACTACAATAGATGATCTTCTACACAACAGCAGTGCTGCGACTACTGACACTGAAATACAAGAAAATACTATATACTACCCACAGGATTTTCAAGGCCATGGGCTTTGGAACAATGTTGAGAAATGATAAGAAATTTTTACATTTGAGCATATAACCCGTAGATCTTTCAAATATTTCCATATATACATCAGAATATAGATGTAATTACTTGGAGTCGGTTTTAACGAACATTTACATGCCATGTTGTTCTAATCTTCGTCGAATTCATCTTCTTCATCCGGGTCATCGTCTGGATCCTCGTCGTCTGCGCTGTGAGGTGTAGGTATAGTGAGATCAATCATTCTGTGCCCTACAATGAGAAATTCGTAAAATAGAAGGAATGTCAATTAAATAAATACATCTTCTTTTTGCAATTATGAATACACGACTACTTATGAAAACTTAATATGTTTATGAGCCTTTTGGAGACTTTCAAAAATACCTTCTTATTAATTTGTTTTTATATCTTTACTCACCAGTTCCTTTGTATAGTTCTCGACATCGTGCAATGTCTACATCACAACCCAATCCTTTTAATGACAAATAGTTTACATTCACCGGTGAGAATCTTACAGTGTAAAGCGACCTGAGATCACCACAGAAATCCACCAAAATATTCTCCTGAAAAAGAAATCTTGTTACCAGAGCACTATTCAAAATAGGGACAAAATAGTAGCCTAAAACAAAAGCTTTGCTTGTATCAAATATACGGAGTTAACGAACAGTATTTACGCTCAAAAATCCATTCAAACAATTATTAATGAGGAGCAAAGCAAACATGGAACCCTAAAACATGAGATTTGGGATCAGCTGTCATGGAGGAGCGAGCATCCCCTGCCGACAGGCCACACCCACCCTGTGCTCGGAAATCGGAAGATAACGGGAAAACTGTTGACAATTCGGTGTGTAAATAATGACCTAAAATATTGTTTCAGATATGGTCTGACACATCTGTATCACATTTAGATGTGTTATTTTAATTGTAACTCAACACCAATTTTTTTATTACAATAAACGTATTGCCTTCTCTTTTTCTAGTGTCAACTTTCCTTCCTTATGTACAGTAATTAGATAGCCTTATAGCCTACATAGCAGGATTTTGTCTCTCATTAAATTTAAGAGCATGCTCTACGTACAAACGGTTTCTAAAACGAAGCAAGCTAGTGACTGAAATATTGACGTAGTCAAGTAAATCACTTGGCGTATTCAAAATTTAGCGAAATCACTTGGCATTCAGTTATTGGCGTATTCCTGAATTAGCGCCACACTTCGGCGCTGTATATTGTATTCATATATTGCTTTTAGCGGTATTCATAGATTAGCGTACCGTTGTCCGCACCCAAGCCGCTAAAATATTAAGCCCGCTTTTTAAAGTACATGTACATCATCTTACACTTTAAACAGAGACAAGGTGTAACGTACCAACACTGGGGCATGTGTTGGCAAAGAGATCTTTATGCATGTGTTCTATTTGACATAACAATGAACATGACTCCAAAGAATTATAATCATGGATAATGATGTTTTGTTTGTGCCTTTGTCTTTAGAAAAATAATACGCAAAGAGCTAAGAATAAACAATTGTTTGACAATTATGTTTATGAAAGCAAAGTGAGGTGTTCCTTTAATTGCTGGCAAGAAAAAGATATCCCTTTGATCAATGGGACTAAGTTCCAGGAATAGGCACAAATTTGCAGCTTTCCACTGGCAAGTGGTGGCGCCTCCACATCAATGAAAAATTATAAGAGGGATGTTTAACAACACACAAACAAACTTACATTTCCATCTAGTTTAAGAGATGACACACACTCCATGGTTTTGACATTCCAGACACGGATGGCATTCTCTTCCATCAGCCTGCTGTGTGTAATGAAATATTTTGCTCCTTTCCTCAGAGGCGGTATAGTCACAGGAACAGCATGTCCACTCAACCGATGCAAAATGGTACCTAAAAGAAAATAAAAGCAATATTACTTGATAGAACTATCTGTCAAAAAAGCTATAATTTAATCTCGAACCTCAAAATTTTACATTCTCCTCAAGCGTTATAAGTCAATAAGCCAGAACAGGTCTTTGATTAGAATTTAACTCTATTGTGTACAAATATTGGTTGATTGATTGTATGTTGTTCAACGTTCCAATCGAGAATTCTTCACCATATTCCGGTCAAGGACTTTAAATTTAGACCTTTACTCGGCATTAAGGGTTCTTTACCATGCCAACATCTACCGTGACATGGGGCTTTGGTTTTTAAGGCCTCATCCAAAGGACCCGCAAAATTCACTTCAAAGTGTCGAACGTTCAGCGAATGAACAGTTGCTATCTTTTTTTATCGACTTATATCAGTCGCAGCCGTGATTCAAACACGCAATCTTCCGATCATGGATCAAATGTTCTATGTACGAATATTAAATAAATGTATGTGCCTCAGTATAATCTACTTGAGAAGTATAAAATGTCTATAAAAATAAAAGTAAAGAGTGGAAGCACTTAGGAAGAATTCCAATTAAATCTATTTTGTATTTTGTTTGTTTTGTTTGTATGTATTATTGTACGTTGCTTAAGGTCCCTCTCGAGAATTGTTCACTCATGTGGAGACGCCGCCATTTGCCGATGGAGAGCTGCAAATTTTGTCCTATACTCGGCACTTCCAGACATTGAGTGATGAGAAATTTGTCGTCCAAAAACTGACACGTTATTATGGATAGAACATTAGTGTATTCTAATTATAAACACAAAAACTTAAACGTGGGACACCCATGGCAAGACTGGCACCGAATTTATTACATAAGCTTCCACAACATTGTATATTCAAAGCATAAAATATACGTTACCTTTTTCTGCATCCCATATTCTGATAACATTATCGAGGTATGACGTTATAAATCCCCAATCCTCTATGCTTCTGACGTTCGGAATGGCAAACTTGAAAGCTCGTAATGCATGCATCGAAGACTGTGGATAGCCGTTATCTCTTAGTCTAACTCCAACTGCAAACAAGATCAAAATGTATGTATCAGCAGGTTATTCTTCTCTGAGACATGAAATTGCAAAGTCACAACTTAAAAGAAGTAGGG